GGGCTTCAGTAGTTGTGGCACGTGGGCTCAGTAGTTGTGGCTTGTGGGCTCTAGAGTGCAGGCTCAGTACTTGTGGAGCATGGGCTTAGTTGCTCCGTGGCATGTGGGATCTTCCCAGACCAGGGATCGAACCTGGGTCCCCTGCATTGACAGGCAGGTTCTTAACCACTGCACCACCAGGGAAGTCCCTTTGCTTTCTTGATAGTATTCTTTGATGAACAAAAATTTTTAATTTTGATGAAGTACAATTTATCTAGGTTTTCTTTAGTTGCTCATGGTTTTGGTGTCATAGCTAAGAATCCACAGTCATATCCAAGATCATGAATATTTATACCTATTTTTTCTTCTAAGAGCTTTACGGTTTCCACTCTTATATTTAGGTCTTTGATCCATTTTGAGTTAATTTTCATACATGGTGTGAGGTTGGGGTCCAACTTCCTTCTTTTGCCTATGATAATCCAGTTGTCTCAGCTCCATCTGTTGAAGAGACTATTCTTTCTCCATTGAATGGCAGCCTTGTCAAAACTCGACTGGTGTTCAATGGATGGATTTATTTCTGGACCCTCAATTCTATTCTAATGGTCTGTCTATCCTTATGCCTCTACCACGCTGCTTTGATTACTGTAGCTTTATAGTAAGTTTTGAAATCCAGAAGTGTGAGTCTTCCAACTCTATTCTTCTTTTTCAAGACTGTTTGGCTATTTGGGGCCCACTGCAATTCCAGAAGAATTTGAGGATTAGCTTTTCCATTTCTGCAAAAAAAAAATCTAAGTTTTGACAGGGATTACATTGAATCTGTAGAGTGTTTTGGGTATTGATGTCTTGATATTAAGTCCTCCTATCCATGAACATGGTGTCTTTCCATTTATTTAGGTCTTCTTTAATTTCTTTCAGCAATGTTCTATAATTTTCGGTATACAAATCTTTCACCTCCTTGGGTAAATTTATTCCCAGGTATGTTATTCTTTTACATGTATTGTAAATGGAATTGCTTTATTAATGTTCTCCTCAGGTTGTTTTTTGCTGGTATATAAACAAATGACTAACTTCTGTGCGTTGATCTTGTATCCTGCAACTTGGCTGAATTTATCACCTCTAGTAGCTTTCTTGTGGATTCTTTGAGGATTTTCTATAAATATAGGATAATATCATCTGTGAACAGAGACAATTTTAGTTCTTCCTTTCCAGTTTGTATGCCTCTTCTTTCTTTTTCTTGTCTGATTGCTCTAGTCAGAATTTCTAGTATAATGTTGAATAGCAGTGGTGAATATGAACACCCTTATCTCATTCCTGATTTTGTGGAAAAGCTGTCAGTCTTTCACCCTGAGTATGATGCTAGGTGTGGGTTTTTCATAAATGTCCTTTATCATACTGAAGAAGTTAAAGGAAAATGACTCTTTAAAATGTTATTTTTAGAAATAATTTGAGGCCTAGGGTGATGTTATTTTGGTGTTATTTTTCTCCAGAGATGATTTTCAGTTGCTTTTGTCAACTCCTAGAGGCTTCAGCAATGCAGAATTACTTTAATCCAAATTTCGAGTTTGGGATTTCTGGGCACCTGCAACCAGAGAGAAGGCTGGCTTACTCCCTTAATCCCCAGGCACAGCCATCTGGGGGCCCATCACAAAGCAGGGGACTGGCTTCCTGGGTTCCCACCCTTGGAGGGACCTGGACTCAAAACTCATCTTTCTAACCCTGTGTGGTTGCCAGAGCCAGAATGCAAGTGCTCAGGGCAGAAGCTGTCCAAGTGCTGCATAACTCTCTGGATTCCTCCTAGATCTTGGCCTGGTATTCTCTCATTATCCCCATAATTCTTTGATGCTTTAAAAAAACATATTTAAAAAATATTTCATTTGGCTTCTTAGTTGTCTTCAGCAGGAGAATTCGCTAGCCTGCTGTTCCTGGAAGAGGAGTTCTCTGCTGATTATTACTTTTCCAGAGGTAGGGATTGTGAGATCCAAGTACAAATTTCTTCTGTCTTATAGGAGACTCAAAGGGACAAGTTCATTTCTCATCCATTTATGGAGAGGTATATGGTGAAAAGAGCAGGAATCTGGAACAAGGGGCCTGTAAGGGAGGAATCAGAATTACTTATCTCCCCTTCGTGCAAGAAGGCGTGAGGCTTGCCTTTCACAAAAAGCTCAGCCACCTTCTTTGCTTAAGAACAATGGTCTCACAATACTACAAAGCTACAGTAATCAAAACAGCATGGTATTGGCACAAAAACAGAAATATGGATCAATGGAACAGAAAGGAGAGCCCAGAAATAAACCCACACACCTAGGGACAATTTATCTTCGACAAAGGAGGCAAGAATATACAATGGGGAAAAGACAGTCTCTTCAGCAAGTGGTGCTGGGAAAATTGGACAGCTGCATGTAAATCAATGAAGTTAGAATGCTCCCCTACACTGTACACAAAAATAAACTCAAAATGGTTTAAAGATTTAAACATAAGACAAGATACCAGAAAACTCCTAGAAGAGAACATAGGCAAAACAGTCTCTGACATAAATGTTTTCTTAGGTCAGTCTCCCAAGGCAATAGAAATAAAAGCAAAAATAAACAAATGGGACCCAGTCAAATTTATAAGCTTTTGCAGAGCAAAGGAAACCATAAACAAAATAAAGAGACAACCTACGGACTGGGAGAAAATATTTGCAAATGATACGACCAATAAGGGCTTAATTTCCAAAATATACAAACAGCTCATATACAATTCAATAGTAAAAAACCAAACAACCCAATCGACAAATGGGCAGAAGACCTAAACAGATATTTCTCCAAAGAGGACATACAGATGGCCAACAGGCACATGAAAAGCTGCTTCCCACTAATCATCACTAATTATTGGCGAAATACAAATCAAAACTACAATGAGGCACCACCTCACACTGGACAGAATGGCCATCATTAAAAAGTCTACAAACAGGGCTTCCCTGGTGGCACAGTGGTTGAGAGTCCGCCTGCCGATGTGGGGGACATGGGTTTGTGCCCCGGTCCAGGAAGATCCCACATGCCGCGGAGCAGCTGGGCCCGTGACCCATTGCCGCTGAGCCTGTGCGTCTGGAGCCTGTTGCTCTGCAGTGGGAGAGGCCACAACAGTGAGAGGCCTGCGTACCACCAAAAAAAAAAAGTCTACAAATAATAAATGCTGGAGAGGGTGTGGAGAAAAGGGAGCCCTCCTACACTGTTGGTGGGTGCCACTATGGAAAATGGTATGGAGGTTCCTCAAAAAACTAAAAAGAGAGCTACCATATGATCCTGTAATCCCACTCCTGGGCAAATACCCAGACAAAACTACAATTCGAAAAGATACGTGCAGCCCGATGTTCATAGCAGCACTGTTTACAATAGCCAAGACATGGAAACAACCTAAATGTCCATTGACAGATGAATGGATAAAGAAGATGTGGTGTGTATATATATACATATATATATATATATACACACACATATATACACATACATATATATATATAAAATGGAATATTACTCAGCCATTAAAAAGGATAAAATAATGCCATTTGCAGCAACATGGATGGACCTAGAGATTATCATACTAAGAGAAGTAAGTCAGGAAGAGAAAGACAAATACCATGTAATATCACTTACACGTGGAATCTAAAATACCACACAAATCAACATATCTATGAAACAGAAACAGACTCACAGACATAGAGAACAGACTTGTGGTTGCCAAGGGGAAGGGGGGTGGGGGAGGGATGAATTGGGAGTTTGGGATTAGCAGATGCAAACTATTATATATAGAATGGATAAATAACAAGGTCCTACTATATAGCACAGGGAACTATATTCAATATCCTGTGATAAACAATAATGGAAAAGAATATGAAAAAGAATATATATGTATATATATATAACTGAGTCACTTTGCTGTACAACAAAAATTAACACAACATTGTAAATCAACTATATTTCAATAAAAGTTTTTAAAAAAGAACAACGGTCTATTAGTCTAATCTGATTTAGGGAGAAGAAAAAGTTGCTATAAGGTGGTTCCAGTAGTCTCCAGGAATCTCCCATAACACTAGGACATGTATTACTACAACCTTTCACAAGAGAAAAGCACTGGGGAGCAAAGAGGGTCAAGGAGTTGCCAGCTCCTACCCTCTCTATTTTTCTCCTCCCCTTTCCCCTCCTCCCTCCTTCCTTTCTTTATGATTCACTTCTAGGAAATTGACTCACCTTAATTATTTATTGCATTTAATACGACAGAATTTTAAGATTTTCTAAAATACAGAATTGATTTTTAAAAGAGCAAAGTAAGTTAAATTTCTAGATCAGTCTCTCCCTCAGCCCCCAAATCAAATTTCACCAAGGAGGTAGATCCCTACCCTAACCCACCTACACCAAAATCCCCTGCTGCGCTGCCTGGAGCTTTTTCCATGTCATTTATAAATAGAAGGAATTGATTCACATATATTTTGGAAGCACATCTAATACGTAAATGGGAGTTCACTGGAGGTTTCCAACACTTGGTCACTCTTCCCATGGTGTGTCAACTGGCGGCCCCCTATATTTTTAGTCCATGTTTAATTCACCACTGACACCTGCCATACAGCCTCAAATCCATCCAATTCTCCACCTTAATCCAGAACACTGTCACCTCTTGCCTCCATGACAGCAACAGCATCTCATCTCTCTACATTCCCTTGGGGATCCCTTAATCCATTTTCTATACTGTGGTCAGAAAGCTCTTTCCAAAGCTCCTTATCATCTGTTTTTTGGCACCGTGTAGAATTCTCCGTAACACTGAACCCATTTGCAATTGGCCTTGGAGCAATTATCCATATGCTGCTGGTCTCCCCACTACACTGAAAGGTCTCTGAGTACAGGAAGCTGGTCTGCTTCTGCTCTTCCTTACATCCTCAGTGTCTGGTACACGGTGGGTGTTTAACATATTTTTAAAAATACTACATAATGTCAATAAACTCTATGTAACTTGCTTATTTGGTATGCTTGTCATCTGTTTCTCACCTTGCCCCTGGAAGGCAGGGGGGGGTTGGCTGTTCTGTTCACCCATGTTCTCTGACAGCCTAAAAGGGGGCCCAGTGCTTAGAGGGCCCTTTGTGATCTTTTTTTGGAGGAATGAATAAATGAATGAATGAGTGAGTTGACTACAGTGAGAACCTAGCTTCCTGGCAGTCCAGGATCTTGTTTGGTATAATTCCAAGCCCTTAAAAAGTGCTGGCCTGCACATTTCTAGATAGAGAATGTCTCCAGGAAATTTGAATTTGTACTCCAGTGCTCAGAACCATGCCAGTCAGAGGCTCAGTCCTGTTACAGGTAAGAACTGCAGGAGGAGTAGCTTTGGCCACAGGCCAGCGTTCTGAGGTCAGCCACTTCACCTGTGGAATTCCCACACCTGTTCATCCTTGGGCCATCCCTTTGAATTGGAAAATAAATCCCATCCCTGTTAAGGTGTTGATTGATAAAGGCTTGAGCTACTGCCCCTTCAAGAGGAATTTGCATTTTAACAGAGGCTCATCAGCCCCAAAGGAATCAGTATCTCTTCTAAAGATGTAATTTTCCAGCACAGCAACTGAAATATTTTGGGGTGAGACGCTGCAGTGTCGCCGATCCAGATGAACAGGCGGACTCACTCAGTCCCGCCTTGAGGCTGTGTAAGACTGACCCACCATTTCCCACTATTATTACTGTGAACGTTGCCTCTTTGTGTCTAACCTCCTTAGGTCGCCTGACACTCGTGGGCCTCTCATGTCAACACAAGCCTTTTCAACACTGGCAGTCTTAAAGTGGTCACATCAACAGGGCCACAAGGTGAATTGTGACAAAACTTCCAAGCTTTCTTGGCACCCTAAGGAAGCCAACAGTCAGGTGTTTAAAACCTAATACGGGCAAAAGGGAGTAGAGACGATTTCGTAGGTCCTTCATGATACTGTTCATTTAAATTCGTTTTGCGCAATTTGTTTTCAGCCCCAACTTTTTACTTGTATCAAAAGCCCTGCAAATGGAAGGTGGGCAAGAGACATCAAGAGACATCCGTTCGTGAGCTGAGAATATTCTAAATGCCGAGCCCTCCAGGGCCGAGTTCTCAGTGGTGCCTTGAGAAATTCTGGAACTGCAGAAATTCTGGATCTTGGAATTCCGCATTCGAGAGCGGCTCCTGCTCGCCACACCTGGGACGGAGCGCTCGGAATTCACATCCTCCCGACCCTCGCCCCGCCACGTGCGCCCCTCCGGCGCCCCGGGCCTGCCCCAGGCTAGGCGGCGGCTCGCCCCCTGTGGCGCGGCCGGGCCGCGGGCCCGGCTCCCAGGTCCCTTACCCGCCGCTGGCCCGGGGCTCCGCCTGCCGCCCTCGCCCTTGAAGCGCCCGCGATCCCCACTCCCCTCCGCGGCGAGGGGCGCGAGCGCCGAGGCCCAGCCGCTGTGGACCACACCTGCGCCAGCCCGTTCCCGCCCCGCTCGGTCCCGCCTGGAGCTCCGGGCCCGGGCCCGGCCCCGGCCCCGGCCCCGCGCGCGGCGGCGGGGCTCGCGCCCGGGGACAGAGGCGGCGGCGGCGGCTCGCTCCCGCGCCTGAGCCGGGGAGCGCGCCGGGCGGGCGGG